CTTCTGTTAGCTCGCGATATAGCACAACCACCACCCAATGTCATCGTTGAGTAACTGTCCCCACGACCATCAGGCTTTGCCCCACCGGTCACAACTTCTCATTGTAACTTCGGGAGTACCTCTCGAAGCTAGTCACCGATGAGCACCAATTCAATTGAATTTTAGGGGGGTTGAAATATTTCCCAATCCCCACAACTCCCTCAAAATTCAATCATAAAGATTGTCAATGAAAAACCATGAAAGGAGAAGGGGTTAAACAATCTTCTTTTGAGTATAAACCTTAGGATTCTTCAGTGATGCTAAGAATATGGCCTTAAGGAAATTTCTATTCGATTTATAAATGACCTTGAATGATGAAGTTCTTGAGACAGAGTGAGCCGTGTTCGTGATGTATTCAGTTATAGCACTTCGTATCGATTCACTGTTACCTCTTTGTCCTTAAAATTAGTAGAAATGATAAGCGAACAAGAGAATAGTAGTCAGAAGGATGCTTTCTTCTTTACATTGTCAGCTGCAGAATCTCCTTTGAAATTCAGATTCATTTGCAACTTATAAAGACTCAGATATGAAAGTTCATTCTACATTCGTTTTCTTTAATTCAGTCTCCTCAATGTTTCATCAACTTTTCTTGTCACCTCTAGATTGAAAAAGGGAATCTCCGGTCAATTTTCGAATTCAAGAATGAATCTGATTACTGAATGGCAGGTATTGAATACCTTTAGAATATCATTTACTTCTTAAAGGAGTGACATAATCTGAAGAACCTAAGAGTACTGGATAGCTGTTTCAGCCTAGTGTGAGACCCATCTGCAGTATATCTCTAGAAGGTCTCCAGGAATCGAACCTAGGACTTTCGTGTCCCACAGCGAACACATTCGTCATTCAGCCACCGGGTCAGAGTTCACTGGTTCACAGCTTCCTACTTCTCTCAATTCATGATATAGTGTGACTATCCACCATAAGCTCTCAAACAAAATTTCTATTTTCCTTTCTTCAGTCGGTGGTGAGTCGGTTATTAGGGTCATGAATCAGTACTAGTTAATAATAATATTGCCAAAAAGGCTGAAAATTGATCAGACTACGCGACAACAGCACATATCCATATCACGAGGGAACTAATTGTCGATCCTGGCAAAGTATAAACCTACAAGTTTACTGAAAGACGTTTAGTGGCATTTCTAAAAACTCATACGAATGGCGTACATCTTCCTGTGTTTTAATTGTTAAAATGGCTACGAAGAAGTAACGCATTAATGCACTACAGCGTTTCTTCTGTCTCTTTTAACTAAAGATTTTACATACATTCATGTTGACTAGGCATTCTAGAAATAGGAACTTCCAAGTCAAGCCTTCTTTGTTCTAAGTATGGCTAGTTCCAGATTCTGCACAGGTACTAGTAACCGTGAGGGTTAGGCCAAAAATAAAGCACACAGTGCATCGATTGGTCAATGGAGATAAACCAATCAAGTAAATAACGTAAGTCAAACCTCTCTACCCGAACTCATGCAACCGTGCAAGGGTTTATGGAGAGGTGTCATCAGAATTGATGACAAATAATGGTGTCCTTCAGGGATGTCCACTGTCATCCTAGGTTCCATAGTTATCCGACGCCTAATTGAAGCTAAAGAACAATGAATTCGAGACAACCAGGCAGGTTCCAAACCCGGATGACAGTGCATCGATCATATTTTAATCATCCGACAGGTTCTGGAAAACAGGCATACCTACCAACCAGTGCCCGACACGTCATATTTCTTGATCTAAAGGTGACATTTGACTCCGTCAAACGTGAGGTGTTGTGGAAGTGTTATAACTGTGAAGAGAGTGCCGAGTAAGTAAAGAACGCTAATCAAACCTCTTTATTCGAACTCAGATACCAGTGTTAGGGCTTACTGAGAACTGTCATTGAAACTGACAACAAACAGTGGTGCTCATCAAGGATGTCTGCTGTCATCGTTTTTATTCAACTTCGTCACAGGCGTAGCAATGGATGGACGTAACCTCAGATATGTTAGACTGCACTGACCTACTACCTTGAAGTAATCCGGTTGACTAGGAGTATGCAGAGGAAATTGTCCCGCTGGGTGAAGACTAACGCCGAACAGATTCCACTGAACACGTCGAGTGGAAACATGAGTATGTTTGGCAGGCATGCGCTTCACACTTTTGAAATGTAAATAGATACTGCCGGCATGGTCTGATGCATGTACTCCTAGTTTAATGATAGGAAGTGAAGTGGTGGAATGTGTCGACCACTTCATTTACTTAGGAAGTTATATCAACCAGCTGAAAGGCTTGCTTCCTGACAAAATCTCACATCGGATACACAATGTCCATTCGGCATTTGTCAACTGACATCACCTGGGGCACCGAACAACCAGATTTTTCAAACTACACATCAAAAAGATGAGTATACTACTCTGCACCTCGTTTTATCCTGCTTTACATCTGTGAGATATGACCGTTAAAAGTAGAAGACATGAAGCGGTTAGAGGGTTTCGATCAAAGATGTCTTCGTAGTCTAGCTGGTGTTCGATGGAATCATCGTGTTAGTAATGTTGAGGTCAGGTGAAGAACACTTGCTGGTAAGACAGATAAATGGATGGATGAGGTTGTGAACTTCAGTCGACTGAGGTGAATTGGAAATGTATGTACTACGCATGTCAAGTCATCACCCACCCCACGTGCCATGCCGTGGGAAGTCGGATTATATTGAGGCAGGGTTCAGAATGACCAGACCAACACCTGGCATCAATGGATGAAGTCTCTGACTGTTGATCTGATTCATATGGGGAGATTTAGACTGTCTGGCTGGGGTGTTCCGAGGCAATGGGAATCGGTGGTTGAGGCCTGATTCTTAGTGGCATGGTTCCAAGTCAGTCAGAGCCTCGTAGATTTATTTGCTCCTTTACATTTTCTAGTACTTGAATATTTGCACTAGCTGTCAACTCCAAATTGTTTATGCTGTCACACGAGGTTTTCTGCTTTGATATCAATCTTATTTGATCTACCTGTTCTTCGTTTACTACAGTGAAGTGTAGCAAGTAGAACCAGTGCACTTGCTTGCGAAGTTCTAGATCGAGTTTCTCTTTCTGTCTAGACAGTAACCAATTTCATGTTGTTTACCTGTGATTGCTGACCAAGTTTGATCGATGATTTTACAGTATGGTCATCAAGCCAGGAGGCTCATCACTCAGGACTTACTGCCTACCACCGAATAAAACTAGTCAGAGTGTAGTGGGATGCTGAATTTCCTAGCTTGGGTGATTACATTGTAAAATCATCCATAGAATTCGGTTAGTACTGAGAATTAGACAAGATAAAATCGATTGTTATCCAGGAGCGAATTAATGTCCGAATAGAATAGTTCAGCGGTAAGGTCTCTCGCTACATCCCCAGGCGACATCAGTTTCCTCGAGGTTGTAGATACATCTTGCTTATGAGTACTGTTCACCGTTGTCTCCATTCAACTAAAACGTGATTTGGCAGTCTAGTGTTTAAAATGAGTCATGACTGAATGTGAAATGAAAATCTGGACCTCACCCGGATTCGGACCAGTCACCACCGAATTTCCCGCCGATGATCTACCAGCTGAGCTAGCTAAAACGTCCGACTGCTGACCAGATTTTTATTCTACTTCAATCAATAGGGGTTTCTTTGCCCTACTACCATGTGAACTCATAACATGTTACTACCGTCTAATCATACTCACACTGGCTGCCTAGTCACGACTTCTCATCTCAATCCAAATCTAACTGAATTAGAAAGAGGGAGCATCATATTGATTATCATTTTGACTATCTGAGTGAGATAGCCGTAGTTTGGCAGACTAGTGTTGATACTAGGTGGTGATTGAATGTGAAATGAAAATTTGGACTATGGTTGGATTAGATTTGGATCGGAATGAGAAGGCTTGACTAGGCAGTCAATGTGAGTACGACCAGGCGATAGTAGCACAAATGGCAGTCGGGCAAAACCCTTGGCGAGTGAAGTGGAATAAAAATCTGGTCAGCAGTCGGACATTGTAGCTAGCTCAGTTGGTAGAGCATCGGGGCGGAAACCCGGTGGTCCAGAGGTCGATCACGTTGAGTCATCCGTCCCCAAACCATAAGCTGAGTATCAATCTTGGGGTTCAGTCAACTGTGTGTTAATAATATCCTTCTCTGTATGGCGGCTTGTATGCATGATTATTGTGTAAGTCGTCACATTATCTGATTAGTTAGTTTAGTTGATGAGTCATCGTACTGGAACTACCCTGTGAAGTCATGAGACATGTTCCTGTCAAAGCATCAATCAACATATGTGGTGCAGTGCTACAGAAAGGATGTCTATCATAACCTATCTTTAGCTAGAATACTGACTGATCCAGTTCTACATCTCTGGAAGGATATCCTTCGATATGTTGCAAATGTCGTGCTAATGAGTCTCACATGAAACATGAAATCCAGCTGTACCGTCGATCATTTCCATTCACCACACATACTTCCATGACAAAAGTGAGAATTTTGTTTGTTGTTTCGTTTCCACTATCAGCCTAATGTGCTGCTGCTATTAAACAAACTCAAGGTCATTATTGTAAACAATTTCAAAAATAATTGAACTAATAATTCGAGTAATAAGTATTATTAAAAAATAGAGAATTAAAACAATGAACGAACAATAACTGTGAGAACAGTAAGTAATACAATCACACTTTCGTTCAACATTTCAATATCGTGATATCATTAAAATTCATCATATAAAATTGATGAAAAAGGAAGTACAATAAACATAATAAGTAGTAATTAGTAGTAGGAATTGAAGTTCACTTATCTTTTAACCAAAACACATACACACATACACGTATACACACACAGTCGTATACACAAGTCACTTTTAAATGTTTTGTTTGTTTTTCACAACCCAAATTCTTGTTCTAATAAAGGAATTAAACTTTCAATTTTCAAGGTGTTCAATATCTTATTTAGTCACCGATTACCTCAATGATACACCGTTCATACTTATGACGTGGATAGATATCTTTTCATGGCATAGTACTGATTGACACGAGCAATACCGTACCTAGATAAAGATAGATAAGATAAATGTATAAACTGTTTGGATTCATTTGGCATTTTAAAGAATTTATGGTGTTGCTTGTATTATCCCATTGTTGATTAAAACGAATCGACCGGTGTCTATTGGCATATAGGCTGCTGGATTTTGCCTTGATATTGCCTATATTTTCAATCTGATATTAATGGTGGATAGCGGCTAGCAGTGGAATCGAGGACACGCTTTTCATCCTATTCGGGACTGTCCAGCTGGATGTACGTACAACGCGGGACCGACCGTTTCAAATAGCAGAGTGATTTCCACTAGCAAAATCACTAAGACTGAACCCGTTGCACAAGAAGTGGCCCTCAGGACCCAGTAGCCAGATGGATAGCGCTACATCGTTTGAAGAATCTATCTCGGGCTCGAGTTTTAGTGAGAGCAACATCGACCACTGGGAGGCAGGTACATCCAGCTGAAGAGACCTAAATAGGACGAAACGCGCATCCTGGATTCCACCACTAGCCACTATCCATCATTGATATTTTTAAAAATCAATTAGTGTAAAGACGGTTATTTGGAATTTCTGAAAGATACATCAAAGCACAAATTTTTTCTGCTTCGAATCCAGAGTTGTAAGATTTTGCGTATGATAAAACTGAGTTAGTGACTCACTATTCATTGGCTATGAATCAACCAATCAACTTGGGGACTTGCGTTGATTAAGTTGGCAAATGCTTGTGTTACGCAAGTCAAACATATCTCGACGTGTTGATTTAGCTAGATTACGAATAGATAGGTAGGAAGAGAGCCATAGGATGTTGTACCGAAGCATGACATCAGTCCACGAAGTTACTGGTTGCTAGTCTTATGAGTGTCATTCTATCTGAGTGAAATGGCTGGGATTAGGCAGACTTGTATTATTGATGATTGAAGGTGAGATGAAAAACTGCAATAGGGTTCGATTCGAACTAGCAGTCACAACGTCTACCTCCCTGGGTACTCTACCAACTGAGCTACAAGACCCGACTGCCACCTGAATTCATGACACGTTACTACCGCTTGATCGCATTCACAGTGACTGCCCATTTACGACGTTTCAAACCAATCGAAATCCCACACTGAATTGGAGAGGGGGAGCATCATATTGGCTTCCATATCGACTATCTGAGTAAGATGGCTGCTTCACTTACTTAAGAAGTTATATCAACCAGCTGAAAGGCTTGCTTCCTGACAAAATCTCACATCGGATACACAATGTCCATTCGGCATTTGTCAACTGACATCACCTGGGGCACCGAACAACCAGATTTTTCAAACTACACATCAAAAAGATGAGTATACTACTCTGCACCTCGTTTTATCCTGCTTTACATCTGTGAGATATGACCGTTAAAAGTAGAAGACATGAAGCGGTTAGAGGGTTTCGATCAAAGATGTCTTCGTAGTCTAGCTGGTGTTCGATGGAATCATCGTGTTAGTAATGTTGAGGTCAGGTGAAGAACACTTGCTGGTAAGACAGATAAATGGATGGATGAGGTTGTGAACTTCAGTCGACTGAGGTGAATTGGAAATGTATGTACTACGCATGTCAAGTCATCACCCACCCCACGTGCCATGCCGTGGGAAGTCGGATTATATTGAGGCAGGGTTCAGAATGACCAGACCAACACCTGGCATCAATGGATGAAGTCTCTGACTGTTGATCTGATTCATATGGGGAGATTTAGACTGTCTGGCTGGGGTGTTCCGAGGCAATGGGAATCGGTGGTTGAGGCGTGACTCTTAGTAACATTATTGTGAGTCGGTCGAAATATTATCGATGCATTCCTTCCTTAACTTTTAAAATTTGAATATTTGCACTAGCTGTTAACTTCAAATTGTTTACGCTGTCATCCAACTTCGTCTAGTTATATGTAGCTCTTTTTGATCCACTTTTACTTAGTGTGCTTCAGTGAAGCGTGGCAACTGGAGCCGATGTACTCCTATGCGAGGTTCTATGTTAATTTCGTCAATCATTCAGTCAGTTTCACGCTATCGTTTAAATGACAGTGCTGGGGAATTGTCACTTCAAGACAGAAACACATATGTACACGATATGTACTTCAGACAGTAAAATGCTTCTAAATTATTGATAAAGCAATGATAGTAACCTTACGGGGAACACAGACACATCATATTACCGTAAGCTACCAATGGAGAGGACCAGAAAGAGGTTGGTGTTCGTTTTGTAGCAAATGTACTGACAGTGACCATGCATCTGTCTGTGCTAAAACTGACAGAAGAAAACTATAAATAAAAGGTGGCAGGTGATGAGACTATGAACATTTAACGGTTAAGATAACTGGGAAATATATCACACATCCAGAATTCCTTCTCATTATAATGCTCTGTTTTATATAGTAAGAGTGGATCAGATAAAGATCAAACCAAGGTGTGGTACTAGTTCATAGTGTCTCTGGTTCTTAATATGAACTGTATAGGGAAATGAAAACTTCAAAGTTAATTCGTGATTCAAGGCGACATGTCGTAGAATCAATCTCCATGGCAAGAATTTGTTTATTGAAAATTTTGCTGCTGTAGGCTTATTGATTATTCAGTTCACTTTACTTTTGGCTTTTGTTTCGCTCATTGTGGTTAAAAATCTAACAAACTGAATCACTATTGCATAGACGATTATAATTAGTAATATAATACAACCTGATTCTATTTATTTGTTGATAAATGTGCCCACCAGTTAAAATCACCACCTAGTATCAACACTAGTCTGCCAAACTAAGGCTATCTCACTCAGATAGTCAAAATGATAATCAATATGATGCTCCCTCTTTCTAATTCAGTTAGATTTGGATTGAGATGAGAAGTCGTGACTAGGCAGCCAGTGTGAGTATGATTAGACGGTAGTAACATGTCATGAGTTCACATGGTAGTAGGGCAAAGAAACCCCTATTGATTGAAGTGGAATAAAAATCTGGTCAGCAGTCAGACGTCATAACATTGGGTCAGAAAATCAGTGGTCGCTGGTTCGAATCCGACCCCTAGCCAAATTTCCACTTCGCCTTCAGTCATCACCCGATATCAATACTAGTCTGCTAAACTACGGTTATTTCAGATAGTTGAATGATAAGCCTCTTAATTAATTTGAGAATTGTTCCTATGACGAAACATCATGAACTGTGTAATAATGGGAGGCACCGTCTTCTATGTCTTTAAGACTTTTTATCAATACACACAGTTGAAACAAATTTCAGAGAAAATTTTATGTCTTGTAATTAGTGTAAACGCTTAATTTTCTTTGGAAATAACTCTTAAACTGATGTCAGTTTTCAGTAAAAATTTATTACTGGAAAACACACTTTCGCTGACTACTGAATTACTTACGATAGGTAGTCGAATTTATTTTGTTCTTGATTTGATAATATCACTGCCCAAACACCCCAAAATAAATGAGCTGCCTGAAAAATGAAAAGTATAAAAAGAGAAAAAGGTATATTGAATTATAATACTCATATAAGGAGGGTAACATTGATTGGGATTTCAGAGAACTGAGACAATTGAAGTATACTATCTTTAGTAATTTTCATTGTGAACAGAACTACAGACTACTTAACTGAGCTTTATCATTTGTTCGATTAAAGATCTGTTATCCGTTACACAGTTGTACGCATACAAATTACTGAATTTGTCAGTAGCTTTTGTTGTAACATCAATCCAATATTGTTCCCAGAAGTGGAGGCGGGGATGGCGGAGGATGGAGTTAAACAGTCACCACTCAAGTATAATTAGTAGTCAAATTTAAAGTTTATTTACTAAAAGAACATTAATGTCATATTTTCTATAAGTTGCATAAGTAAGTCAGTCAGTAAGTCAAAATTAGTAAGGAGGTCATGAAAAAAGATGAAGAAGAGATATAGCAATAAAGAAAGTCGGTATGACGATTAGGTTGACGATAATGTGTTAATGAATCTATGAACCTGAGATTAATTCCCAGCTAAATCACACAGTTTCTAACCACCGACTTTGGTTACTGTGTGTACGTCAACTAGGTGATGTAAATTCTTACAAACAGCTCAGAAAAACAGTAAAAAGTCTCATGAACTGATGTTATATTTTACTCTCGCCACCCTTAACTTCTTCAGAACATGAACCTACTTCGACTGACTGTGCATCTAGGTTGGCAGGGATTATGTATAGGTTGGTAGCACAGGTTCCAGCCAGCTCAGTCAATGAAGCTTCACAATAATAACACTATACTGATATCTACGATATACAATGAAATAATGAATTCTTCAGGAAGTATCTAAACGACTTTGCAGAAATAGCTGATTAAATCAATGTAAGTTACAGAAAAAAGTAACTTGTGTTTATTGAACCTTCTGAGCAAAACATTCAAAGATAATCAATCAAATGGGAATAGAAAAAAGAACCAGAAAAAGAACAATTCAACAGATATTAAAGGTAAATAAACACCCGAAGTGGTGGAATATCGAGTATGAAAAAAAAGAACAATACTGAAATTAATTTTAGGTTGCGTCATCACCAGTAGCTGTCTACACAGCAGACTGCAGTTATCAAGCTTATTTTTCCATATAGCCCAAACGGTGATTGTGTATACATACATTACAGTACTAAACACTACAGTTGACAAAGAAATAAAAACCTATCAGGTCATTCGAGTGATTTTAAAGGTCACTTAGTAACAAATGAAATAACCAATTAGACTTCTCTATCTAATGAAAATCTGCCTTTCCAACCGAAACCCAATTGGTTATTTCGATCGTTGCTAGGGTGGCCTTTTAAGTTCCCCCATTCATTCGGATACCTTAAACAATATCTAAGCCTTGTCTTGACATCATTCACTTATAGTAACTAGAAGACAACAAATTCACTAGTGCTACACGATTCATTATAAAACTCTAGCCTTTAAACAGTGTTTATTTTCAAAGGAGTTATGTAACACTCATATACTTTTAAGTAATTGGGAAACATAAGCTACCCAATCAAATCCTTAATTACCTCGCGGATTTTCAATTGTTTGACTGATGAAAAGTAGTATATACACAGAAAATGTCTCAGCATATTAGCACCTACGCTACAAGAAACCTCATACAAAAACCATAACGTTTAATACTTAAATGATCCAGTTGGCAGTTTGTGAGGAATAATTCATCCCAAGGTAGTATTTATCAAGGACTGACATCACTCATGACCTCATTAGGGATCAAGTCAAGGATCGTCTGGCCTTGCAGCGAGGACGTTACCATCTAATCACTGGGTTGGAATTCAATAGTTGCTCACGAAGTCATGGATGTGCACTGCTGAGGAGTCGTATACCAGGACGAAATAGTTTTCTAATGCATCCATATTTTCAATAGTTCTTAAACTCATGTAAGTTCATGACGAAAATCTTTATGGTTGCTGCGATGGGATAAGTAAGACGTGACATTGAAGAAAAAAGGAACATCTTCACTTCATACCTTTCTTGTCTTTCCAAATGTTCGGTGTTCGCGTGTCCAGTAGTTGTAGATCGGAGTAATATGACAAACTGTCTGCTTCATTTAAAGTTTATTATCCAACCATAATAAACAGAACTGTGTAGTCCACACCTTAAAGAGTGTAGTTAACAAAATGCACCAATCACTTCGCTTTTCAGCTTTCTTGTCCAAAGTCTGAAAGGTGTCGACTTGTACTCTTTCATGGAGGAAACCAACAGTGACTTACAAACACCAAAACTTGGTGTGAATGCTGTAATCAGTCATCTTGATGACTAACAGCAGAATCAAAAACGTGCCTTTCATCCCATTCAAGTCTCGTCAGCTGAATGTACCTGCAGCCCACTGAGTGATGTTGTTCCCACTGAGACTCGAACACACTATCCATCGCTTCAAACATAAAAGTGTTATCCACAAGGCTGCTGAGGCATGAGAGCCATTTATTGATGTGAATGCTTTGATGGTTTTTCCACTCTTTATCAGTGGATAACACTCAAGGCTGGCCAATAAGTGAGTACAAACCATTTGAAAATGCTTCACTTTCTATAGAAGTAAGTGCTAGTGAAGTCACACTTATCCTGGTGATAAAACGTACAGAAACAAACTTCAAACCCTGGACAACATCAAACAACCAACATCCTCATTCTCAGCTACAAATCTTCTCTACTATTCTACCAGCCGATTCCAACCCAGTATTTAGTATCCCTTGTACTATTCTCTCAGTTACAATTCAATGAAAGTGATATGGGCTCTTTAGAAAATTGAGACGGCCAAATTCAATTTCCATGCAGTTACCAAGATTACAAACAAGTACTTCCGGCCCAGATAGTGGTGCAAAAAGGTCAATAGATCCAGAAAAAGAATATACAAAGTGAGGGTATTTACCAGTTTAATTGCTCTTGTAGAGACAGTTATATCGCTCATACAACTAGTCAACTTAACTAACGTAATACTGGACAACTACCTTTGCGGCTAGGTAATTATTATTTATTATTTGTCCCTTGGGTTCCTAGTGGAACATAGGGCTTCAGTAGCATGTCGCCATTTCACTCTCTTCTCTACAGTCCCCTTAACCTGGCTCCACGACTGTCCGTAACCTTTCAAATTCTTCCTCACACCATCTCCCCCATGTCACTCTCGGACACCCAACTCATCGTTTCCCACGTGGGTTCCACTTGACCGCCTGACCTGGCACGTGATGTCCTCATATAGTCTTATCAGTGTATGTCTAATCCATTCCCACTTTCTTCTGCATATTTGTTAGGCGATAGGTTCTTGTCTTGTTGATTTGTTTCCTGTGCAGAGTTCCTCCTTGCTTATTCTTTCTGGCCGTCTGATCTTCAGTACTGGGTGAGTGTGGGTGGCAGCTGTTGATGAATTTCTGCAGTTTGCTGGAAATGCTTTTCATAACGCGCCAACTCCCTCAGCTATCACATAGAAGCACTGACTTACTTGACTGAATTAGTGTTGAAAATCCGGATCTTGTTCACGCTCCATGCTGAGTGCAGTAGATCTCTACACTGATTCCATATTATTGCAGGAAGGCCTGTCTTACTGTCTTCCCGATCCTATCTTTCACATCCCCATCTATGCCTCTGCCGCCAGTAGTTGAAACGATACTGCCTGCCTAGGTAGGTAGATGGGTGATAGAGACAACTTCGTTTAGGTTTTTCCGGTTCATGGTGATTGTTGTTGTTGGTTGGGTATCTTCGTCACCTCTGTCTTCTCTATGTTCACCTGAAAGAATTCCCGTGTTCGCTGCCCTGCTTATTCTGTCAACTTGTTAGTTTTCACCTATAGATCTTCGGGTTTGCACGACATTAGACATAAATCATCATGGACGAAACGCAAATCTCCTACGTCTTTTCATCGGTCGAACAGTGTATGCCCATCTTCTCGCTCCTCACAGTTGTTTCTTGTATGATCCAGTCGAGTCGAGTCAAGTCAACCACAGTCAGGAAGATCATCGGTGATAGCAGCCAACCTTGTTTTTTCTTACTCCTGTCTTCACTTCAAAGGCATCACCGAGCTTTCCATTGTGAATCTCTTGGCATGTGACATCGTCATACAGCTGTTGTCGAATGAGGTTGATAAAGGTTTGTGGCACTAAAGCCACAGTGTTCAAGCAGTTTCCAAGTTACTTCTCGGTTGACGTTAAAGAAGGCTTTTCAAAGTCGATGAGGTTGAGGTAAAGAGTTGACTCGCATTCTGTGCTCTGTTCTATGATGATGCGCAGCGCAGCGTAGCATTGCAATTTCATCCCCACATGATTTGTCCTTCCAGAAACTAGCCTGTTCCGGTCATAGTTTTGAATGCAGAGCACTGTTTAGTCTCTCCAGGATAATGTGGCCTAATATTTTGCTTGAGGTGGACAGGAGCATGATTCAGAGCCAGTTCTTGCAAAGATTTACGTCTCCCTTCTTTGGGAGTTTAACAAGGTAGTTCTTTTTCCAATCTTCAGGTATCTTTGCTTCCTTCCAAACCTTGTGCAATAGTGGTGTGGTGTGAGTATGTCCGTTGTTGTCTCTGCGTCTGTTTTCAGTGCTTCTGGAGGAATTCCACCTGGTTAAGGACAAGTTAAATCTTTCAGAAGCTCTATTTTGTCGCATCTAGCTGACAGTGTTCACAGAGTAGTTAAGACGAAAATGTTCATAGTGATTTACCGTATACCCCCGGACCTTTCCGATGGGATTGAAATCCGTATTTTGCACATAGCTGAGGCTATAGGAATTCGAATAAACAATCCAAAGCTCTGTATTCATAAGAAATTTGTACAGACTTTATCCTTACCTTGGCCTGGGAGAACCTAATGAATGATCTTATAAGTTTTAAAATGTACGTCTCCTTCTACACCAATATTCACATTCAACTCCTATTTATTCCCCGCCTTCATGCCCCAGTATCAGATAACCTTATTGTCCTTTCCTTTTTTTTCAATCTTTGACCTACTTTGTCTATCTATGTGTTTGAACACTTTCTTACATTGTCATGTCATTATGAACATTTGTATTAACTATATATATAACAAGGGATAGCGGCTAGAAATGCAATCCAGGATGTTCTGTTTGGGACTCGTCAACTGAATGTACCTACTTCTCAGTGAGTGATGTTGTTCCCACCACCATTCGTATTAACTTGTTTACAGTTCGTATTCCTCATTGTCATTGTCGCACAAATTACCTTGATTGGTTGATATTTTACAAATATGTTGAAAGTAATATATATTAGAGTGATGAGATCTAATTGAAAACAATATTGTTCGCTTACATGTTTTGTTATAATGGGAATTTTTAGCACTATGAAAGGGAGAAATTAATAATATGCACAAACAACACTCACCATGGCGAAATTGTTTACTTCAATCAACCATTTATCGACTAAACTCTTATTTACACACTGGTCATCTTGATCAACATGATTCGAGGAAAAGAAAGAAGGTAAACAATATCCATTTTGATTCATCTGATTCACTGATTGGTGATCTTGTTTGTTGAATTTCTTTGTATAGTAGTCTTTAGCTGTTAAATAGCTGTTGATCCACATTCGTTGATATTCCTTCGTTGGATATTTATCAAAATTTACAACATTTATGCCTATGAACATCACATACACACACAGAAACTTATCAATGACACAAGTAAAGATTATTTAATTAATCAACTATGGATTTTTGACCAATATAACTGTGATTATTACTACATATTGATATACTTGTAATTCTGCATTGCTTTATTGGATTGAATTGTTTGACCTGTATTGACATATGGGCTCTGTGGCATAGTGGATAACGCCTTGGCGTTTGAAGCGATGGTTACGGGGTTTGAGTCCCAGTGGGGAAAATAACACTTACTGGAATGCAGGTGCATCCAGCTGATAAGTCTCAAGTAGGACGAAGTGCACGTCCTGGGTACATTTGCTAGCTAGAAACAAGCAAAAACAACTGTGATTGTTTGATACTTGGAATTTCTGATTGCTATAGAGGGTCAGCTTGCTAGGCCTCTGTTGGCATTTGGGCTCCTATGCGAATAACTCGATGTTCTCCGGATACTAATTATTCTGTATTCATCTTGGTAACTGGCAGTAAAATCCAGAACGCATGTTTCATCTCATCTAGAACTCACTCGTCAGCTCGATGTACCCTTGTAAGACTATCGATGTGTGCATAGTTGCCAACCCTAGACGATATAACTCAGAATTAGTCGTGGTAGGTTTTGATGCATTCCTCATCACATTACTTCCTCTAAATTCTGGTTACTTTTATGACCTTTCAGGACTACTGGTATCACTTTTGCTTCTGTTATTCATCTTGTCGGTGCTCCAATGAGAAATGTGACAAACTGATATTACACCAGGTGCCGTGTTGTTTATGTCTATCTGTTTATCATTAAAATACTATTTGCAACATAAAAGAAATACCATATGCGAATTCGTACTCTACGCGGTAAGCTATAAGCCTCCTATTTTTGTGTAAACTAATTATACAAACTATTGTAATGATACTTGTAATTTCCTGTTGCTATACAGAACAGAATTGCTCGACCTCTGTTGGAAGATGGGTTACTATTCAGATGCCTTGTTACTGCCAGATATTCATGATGTTATATTGATCTTAGTGACTAGCAAAGTAATCCAGGATGCGCGTCTCCAGCTGAAGAGTCTCAGATTGGACGAGACGCGCATCCTGGATTCCTTTGCTAGTCACTAAGATCAATATAACATCATGAATATCTGGCAGTAACAAGGCATCTGAAAAGGAACCAATCAGCCAACAGAGGTCGAGCAGTTCGGCCCTTTATAGCAAAGGGAAGTTACAAGTATCATTACAACAACTGACACCCGTTGCACAAGAGGTAGGTATCGTGCTGCAACGGTTTAGTGGATAACGCTGTGGCGTTTGAAGCGGAGGGTGCTGGCTTCGAGCCTCAGTGGGGACAATATCACACAGCAATGGGGTACAGGTACATTCAGCTGACGGGTGAGCCGCAAATAGGACGAGGTGCGCGTCCTGGATTCCTCTGCTAGTCACCAAGATCAACATAGTTATAGCAACTTGTAAACAATCCGTTGGCAAATGAAATGGCTTTCGAAGCCATATTCCAGTGCTCGAGGTTATAGTATCTCAAGTCAAGAAATAATATATTTTCAAAATGTTGTTGCTTTTATTATCCCGCTGTAGAGTGGACCGAATCGATCGGTCTCTCTATTAGCACACAGACTCCTGAGCGGATGCCTTGATATCACCTGTGACAGAACTATATATTAATGGCTAGCAATAGGATCTTTGACGTGCGTTTCGTCTTATTTGCGACTCGTCAGCTGGATGTACGTGCCTCTCAACGAGCGGTGTTGTTCCACTTGGACCACTAGGACTCTGGCTCAGGACCAGCTGTTTCAAACCCCAGAGAGTTATCCACTCGACCACCAAGTTACAATAGCTACTTTTTGTGCGATGGGTATAGTTTTTAGTGTTTATGTTTTTATTATCCCGTCGTTGAGTAGACCGAAATGATTGGTCTTCATCGAAATATATGAGCTCCTGTGAGTGACTAGTTGCTAGCCACTATCACTTATTATCAAATACTTTCAAAATGTTACCGGAGTGAAATAATGACAATTGTACACCTTAGTAAATAAAACTTTATATTATGAAGTGATTGTAAGGATGATTGAATCTCCAAGAGAATGAAATCCATCTGAATTACATTTTATGTATATACGGAGAATATGATGACGTTGAAATTCAACATTATCATTTCAGAAGCGTAATGTGGACAGTTTCCGCTCAAGAAAAATATAGTATAGTAAAACAATTTCGTAACCTCGCCTGGTTAACTAGTTTACTAGTTACTAGCCGGTCCTAAGCCCGGGTAAAGAGGGAAGGTTGGGCATAGGGCTAGCAACCCTACCCCGTAAAACAAATCTAACCGCTAAAGAAACTTCAAAGCACAAACAAAATATAAAAAATGAAAACAAACTTATTCCCCGCTGGAATCGGAGAGGCGAAATGACGCCAGTTGGTGAAAGCCTTCGGGAAGCCAATTGGCCGATGTGTCTTCTCTCGATGAAAGCGAAAGTAAACGTGGGGACATGGAATGTCCGCACGATGTTTGAACCCAGTAAGGCAGCCCAGATTGCAAGGGAGATGAGAAGGTATAACATCGAAGTGCTTGGGATTTGCGAAAGCAGATGGAATGGGAGTGGACTCTCCAAACTGTCAACTGGAGAATCAATAATCTACTCCGATATTGTCACCCAGACGCCAACCACGAGCACACTGAGGGAGTGGCTATCATGATGTCCTCAAGAGCATCGAAGGCTCTCATGCAGTGGGAACCAATCTCCTCCAGGATCATGACAGCAAGATTCAACTCAAAAGGAAGGAAGGTCACAATCATACAATGTTATGCACCTACAAATAATGCAGAGCAAGAGAAAAAGGAGGATTTCTACAGACAACTTCAATCAACACTGGACAAGACGTCAGTTGGCGATATCAAAATTCTGATGGGGGACATGAATGCCAAACTGGGAGGGGACAACACGGGAAGAGAACTAACCATGGGTCGAGAGGCACTAGGTGAAATGAATGAGAATGGAGAATTGTTTGCAGAATTCTGTGCATTCAACGATTTGGTGATTGGAGGCAGTGTGTTCAGGCACAAAGATATCCACAAAGCGACATGGATTTCACCAGATGGACACACTAAAAATCAAATCGACTTTATCTCAATCTCAAGAAAATGGAGACGCAGTCTACTTAACACAAGGTCAAGAAGAGGAGCAGATGTAGGTTCACACCACTCACTATCTAGTGCAAGGAACCTTCCAAATCAAGTTAAAAGCCTTCAAGGAAGCTGGTGATAGACCTCAATTCAAGTACAACACTCGGAAACTGAAGGATGAAACTACAAAGGAGATCTTCACGGCAGCCATCAAGACAAAATGGGAGACATCGAGGGACATCCCTGAAGAAACCTGTGTGGAAGAACACTGGAAGTCTTTGAAAGCTATGTGGAAAGAAACCTGCACAACAGTATTAGGAAGGAAGAAGAAAGAAGACAAGGAATGGATCTCGACGGATACCTGGAAGCTGATAGAGGAGAGGAGGATGGTGAAGCAGAAGATAAACCAGTGCAAGGATGCTCAACGACAAGAGGAACTGAGCACAATGTATAAAACACTGGACAAAGAAGTGAAGAAGAGTGCACGCAAAGACAAAAGACACTTCTACGAAACACTGGCAAGTGAAGCAGAACAGGCTGCTGCTGGTAAGAGAGACCTGACGACATTGTATCAAATAACCAGGTTGCTATCAGGGAAGAGACCAACACAGATGAAACCAATAAAAGATGAAGAAGGAAATTTAATTACAAAAGAAGAGAAACAGAGGAAACGATGGGCCGACCACTTCAAGAAGCTCTTGAATCGACCACCACCTGCACTTCGTCCAGAAATACCACCTGCAGCCGCTGAATTACAAGTGAACATAAATCCCCCAACGAAAATGGAAGTCCTGAACGCCATAAAGCTACTGAAATGCGGGAAAGCAGCAGGACCAGATGGAATACCGCCAGAAGCACTGAGAACAGATGCAGAGACAACAGCGGACATGCTCACACCACTATTGCAGAAGGTGTGGAAGGAAGAGAAGGTACCTGACGATTGGAAGAAGGGTTACCTTGTCAAACTGCCGAAGAAGGGAGACCTCAGTGCTTGCAAGAACTGGCGCGGAATCACTCTCCTGTCCACCCCAAGTAAAATATTAAGCCGCATCATCCTGGAGAGGCTAAGGGATGCACTGGATTCAAAACTACGACCGGAACAGGCAGGCTTCAGGAAGTACAAATCATGTGCAGACCAAATTGCAACGCTTCGTATCATCATAGAACAGAGCATAGAATGGCAATCACCTCTCCACCTCAACTTCATCGACTTTGAGAAGGCCTTTGACAGCGTCGACCGAGAAGTAATTTGGAAACTGCTTCAATACTACGGAGTACCGCAAACCTTTATCCGCCTCATTCAACAACTATATGAAGATGCCACATGCCAAGTAATCCACAATGGGAAGCTCAGTGATGCCTTTGAAGTGAAGACAGGAGTGAAACAAGGTTGCCTACTATCCCCCATGATATTCCTTATTGTGGTGGACTGGATCATGCAGCAAACAGTAGGCAGCGAGAAGAGGGGGATACACTGGACGACGGAAAAGAACCTAGAAGACTTGGATTTCGCCGATGACTTATGCCTAATGTCACACAAACTTGAAGATCTGCAGGCAAAAACTAACAAGTTGATAGAAGAGGCAGCGAAGACGGGACTTCAGGTGAATATAGAGAAGACAGAAGTGATGAAGATACCGCACCACCACCATCAACAACAACAACAAACTCCAATCACCGTCAACGGGAGAAACTTAAAGGAAGTAACCTCCTTCACTTATCTAGGAAGCACTGTTTCAACTACAGGCGGGACGGACGAGGACGTCAAAGTCAGAATCGGAAAAGCAAGACAGGCGTTCATTAGCCTGAAACCAGTGTGGAGATCTTCTGCACTCAGCATGCGGAACAAGATACGGATTTTCAACACCAAC